AAAAGGTAAGATGAGTACTGTGAAGTGGTGTAATATGACAGTGTCGGGTCATAGTAGTTACAAGTCAACTGGGAATTTATAGACTATTTTGCCGTATGAGTATACGTTGTGAATATAACGGAACCCCTCGAAACATTGAATTTCATTCTCGACATTCTATTAATATATATATTTAGCATCTATACTACTCTTAGCCGATCTTTGTAAGCAATGCCTTTTTAAATTGCCACTTGAGAGCGATTTTAAAGATTTAAAATTGAAAATAAAAAATTATTATATTTCCTAACAATTTTATCAAGTGAAATGCGAAAATAATAAAAAATAAGGCAGACAACGATTTACCGGTGAAGGTGTTAAGAAGGTGATATAGAGAGGTATCCTTTTCAACCAAATCGATGGGTCTGCGTCCATGGGAATTAACAAGGGACGCATTTGCGCCATGAATAAGTAGGAGTTGAACCAACTTTAAATCGCGTAGTCCAGCAGCAATATGCAGAGCGGTTGTGAGTTTACAACATTTGTTAGGGTCGGCACCTATCGTTTCATGAAAACTCGAAAATAAATAGACACAAATTTCCAAAAATACAGAAAATAAAAATACCTGCCATAAGCAGATACTCAACAGCCTTATAAAACCTGTTTCTAACTGTAACATGAATCGGACAGTAACCCTGACGATCACATGCGTTGACGTCTGCGCCGGCATCAACTAGAATTGTCATGGCACCATAATGTCCTAAAGTAATCTAGATCTCACATTTTTAATTCCAATACCGTTTTTAATAGCATACATCAATGGGGATCCCCAATAAGAAGGTGGATTGACATTCGCACCACCTCTAAGTAACGCTTTGATAATTTCTTCTGATCCATTAGCTGCAGCGTCACAGAGGGGTGTGTGCCCATCGACATTATTTGCGTTGACATAAAATCCTACTTCAATAAGAACTTTAACTGCGCTAAGATTTCCAGCCAAACACGCATAATGTAGAAGGGTGTTGTTGTCTGAATCATGTTCAAAGAACTCTTTTTTGGATAAGTGCTCAAGTATTTCTTCCCTTGTTCCTGTTTCCACCGTTTTGATTGAAGCTAACATTTTAAAGATATTGTAGGGAATTGTAGGTCTGTTTAATGTACATTGACCCAGACCTTTTGTGAGTTTTTTGGAATATTACAGTGAAAGCGCCAGACGAAGGTCACGTATCATATGTCCATATAAATAATCGTTTATTAGCTTAAACAAATAATTCGTAATATTTGATTAGCAATCACATAATAAAAAGAAAAAAACTATGTTTTGTACAAGCCTACAGCATATTACATATTTTAGTGATAGGTTTTTTAAAAAAAAGAGTGGGAATATTAGTGTTTGTAATGTGACTATATATAGATATCTAAAGTAATTAACAGTCAAATTCTGACTGTCAAGTCGCGTCAATAAGTTTCTGCATTTTATATGTATGAATAAAATATACATTTCAATGTCACTGTACGGTAATTGGTAAATTACTATTAAGTAAACACGCATTTGTTTTTTAGCTCAAAGTATTCGGCTGTCACGGATGTTATAGCAGTATCTAAATGTGATTCAGCTCATTTTTGACATATAAAGTTATCCTTGAGGTCAATCTAGGATACATTAAAAGAATTTTTAGTCTTAAAGATTCTAAGTAAAAAGCTGATGATGTGTATAATGTGAAATATCAAGAATGGCACTCTGATTCTCATAATAAGGTAAATTTATGACATATTTCTAAAAAATAATACTCCGAGTTGCCCATTTGATGATAATCTATCTGTTATAATAAGTACGGCTTTGGAGAGCAAAAAAGAGCAACCAGGCTTCGCGCCAGCAGCGGAAACATTTACTTCATGAGATGATATAGTTCTTTAACTGAAGAATTTACCAATGCCAGAACGTGACATATTGTTGAAATAAGCTTTGCTATTTCATGTATTGTTGATTGTCACTTAAATTCAAGATAAATATGGTTAAAAATAGTATGATTGACCCTCGTTAATTATTCCTTCACTACTAGAAGTGTTATTTTATTAAGGGGATCAGCTGGTAGAGTTAACCAAAAAATTCAGAAGATTTTAGACAAGTTAAATCGTGTATTTTCTACACGTCTTTCGATAGACCTGCCTATATAAGCCCATTTTCTCTAGTTTTGTCCATAAAGATGGGCATTACTTTGAATTTGTACCTCATTTTACTACATTATGGCTATTAATATTTTCACCATTTACTTAAAAATTCAATCTGTTTGCTCCTCCGTGGCATTTTATAACCGACTCTTAGTTTCCTTAAATAGCTTTTGCCACAAGTATACAATCGACAAAACCAAATGATCAAAGCCAACCTATCCGAACTTCACACATACGCTTCTCAGTACACTCATTCTAGAAAATATGAGAAATATTCGCCTGCTTTAGAAAGATTACCGAAATATTTTTGGTGTGCTTGAACAGAGCAAACAAACTTCTTCATATATGAACTGGATCATTAATACTATTAGGTTTTCATTGTCATACCCAGAAATGGATATATGCCATTGACAGTCGCCTGGATTATAGGGCTTTGATCTCCTATCAATCCAATATAAAAGCACAGAAGAGCCAATGCTCCAAATGTGCTGTATATGTAACTACGAGGCAACCATTTAAAGTAAGGCAAAAATAGGCAAATGACCATACTTTATATGATATGGATTTTTACTTATTCTTAAAATTTAAATTTCGTGATTGACGCACTGAATTCCGAGCAGTTAAACTCCAACAATTTTCATGTTGGTTCGTGCCCGGTACGCTTAACCTTTTTAATACCAAAAAATTACTGACGCTTCTCTTTTTGATTTTAATGGTGACAGAGCACATTCCAATATATAACTAATTATATATATATATTGTGTGACGTGTCCCACAGGAGTAAGTGATTCATTCATAACCAATGATATTACAGAGGTCTTTTCCACACATTGTAAATGACTGCTATGATTACATGAGCATTGTTTTGGAAACCTTTTAAAAGACCCTCAATTGATTTATATAAAGCTAAACTATGCAACGTATCCCGACTTATATAGACAAAACGCAAACAAAGTGAGAGGAGAAAAACTCAGTCCGGCCTGAATAGAACCAACGGAATATAGGTAGAAACCAATACATTATCATCGAATTTCAACGTCAAACAAGTTGGTCTTTTTCTACGCTTTGTTGTTAGTAATAATCGGTAAATTGCTGGAGCCTAGTTTCCAGAAGCACGTACATTCACAATAAGTGAAGTCAAACGCAATAATTTTGAAGCAACTTATGTCGACGTGAATGTAGATAATCATAAATTTACTAGGTTGCATATTTTTTCAAATGCATTTGGTTAAATGCCCGATCAGGCCAATACAAAATGATTCAAAAACTTGAAAATGACTACTACTTGCTTCAACGACACCATTATGGGTCGACTTTTGATGAGCTCCTATTGAAGTTTAAAATTCTGAACAAATTCGAAATTAGCAGTCTTGACTTTTGTTTGCAATAGGGTTTGAATTGAAAAAAAACATTTTACAAAACAGTTGCATATTTCGTTTCAAGGATTTAAGAAAGACGCTTTAACTTTCCAACTTGGCAGGAATTCCACCAAACTAAAATGGAATGATTAAAATGAATGAAACAACAAATATTAAGCCAACCTACCGTAAAACCTTCCATTGCCTTAGTTCCCAATCTCATATGCGGTGCAAGACGTTTAGTAACATGATCAAGGCAAGCCATCAACGAAATGCACGTTTCCATAGGTAGTCGTAAATGACTCACGGAAAAATCTCGATTCCATTCCACCAATTTGGGATCTTTCTCTCTAGCAAGGGATAAAAAAGACAATAAAGAAAATGAGATAGAAATAACCCGAAACTACTCAAGTGCCTGGAGTAGCAAATGATCAAGTCAATTACTCAGCGTTTTGCTCCCGAGGAAGACGACGGTAAGCCACTTTCAATATATGCACTTTTTCAGCTGAAATGGTTTCCACCACCTCTGATTCATCAGCATCCAAAGTAAGAGCGAATTTCGATGTGTTGATAATGGTATTATAAAGACACGTACGTTGACCAAGAATCCAAATCTATGAGAATGGAAAACAAATCGATGAACTATACGATGAATTGTAATAAAAAAGGGTACAAAATCTACAATAGGACTTACCAACGCGTAGTCAATAGCTGAATCGTGCGAACCCGCGGAAAGAAGAATTCTGTACCTATTGGCTTTCATAAGGTGGTGGAAAAGGAGATCAAAGAAGTCAAAATCGTGCTTCCTGAAGAAAAATATTATTAAAGCAAAATCGCTTACACCAAGGGAATATCTACAACACGAACAAAATTTCCTTCTGCATCTCTATCTGGCCTACGAATTTTGAGGGAGTTTGTGTAAAATGCCACCACTCTATCCTTTTCTACACCAACTGAATTAGAGTATTATAAACATATGTAGACTTTCATACCCAACCTGCCGACCATAATTCGACAACGAGCGCAGAAGACAGATTCAAGTTGTTGAGATTTAATAAGCGAGCCATCAATTAATATATCAGGTCCCATAATTAGTTCAACACCATTAGAGAGGACAGAAGTATCAGGTAGATCATTTAGAATCATAGAAAGTGGAGATGGCAGAACAACGCATGACTGATTATCTGTGTGGCAGTAATAAGTCGACATCTCCGATGTAACCAATGAATCAACAAACCCAAGAGGTTCAACTTTACACGTCTTCTTTGAATTTGCGAAAACAGCATTACAAAATTTACATCGTATCATATCGCTTCGAATAATGCGGTCGCATATTTTTTCAAACCGCTTATCCTCGGAGAGTTTGGGAATAGGGCAACTTGCCAAAAACGTAATAGATTCTGAATTTGGAGAAGATGTATAAAGTGCTTTAGCCGTATCTGGCTTAAAGGTGAGGTCGGGAAAATTAACTGCATAACCGGCGAAACCATCAGAGAAATTTACAACATTTGGCGTTGACACCTTTAATGAACAGCTAAATATAATATATTACCATTAACCTAAAGCATACTGTTCATTTAAATCACCATTCAACGTAAGAGAAACTTTCTGGATTCCAAAAGAAAATTCCCCAAAGAGAGAATAGACACTCATGTCAACAGCAGATACGTTTTAGATTGGGGAGCAGAACGAATTAGCCGCAATTGCCTTGACACTGTCCTTCAAAGTCATATTATTGCTCAAACGTCGCTAATGCTAAAGGGATCCAAGTTAACTTCCTTCCTAATATCTCAAATAGTCCATTTCTATTTTTCTCATTCTTTCAAGGAGAGTTTATATAAATACCTAGTATTTGTAAAATCTACTTCAGGGCTTATATTATTTTACAATATTTAATTTAAAAATGGTCTGGATTTTGTTCTAGATTGTATTATATTGTGTTTTGTTTTTATATATTGGATGATAAATATGAGCCAGCCCGGTTATTCATGTTAATTTATATGGCGGGCATTTTGGATGCCCAAATCAGTTGTGTGATAGAGAAATATGGGAAATACTCCCGGTTTTCCGGAAGCCCCCTCCCCTTACCTTGGAGGTCGTCGAGTCTCTGATAAAGCTCTTCCGAAAACCGATAATTTTGAAATTCGATGGCAACGGTTTGTGGAATCACTAGATGTTACTGAAGAAAAGATGAAACTGATTGATTTGCTTCCTCTTCCGAGAAAAATGGAATTAGTTCTAAATTATGTATGCACATATTTTAATTTTACCCCTTCTAGGAATTGAGTATTGTGAAAATTTCACCGGAGCATTGTGTTGAGAGCATTAAATTAGCCAGAATTTCCCAGATTACCGTAGGTTCCTTTATATTCGTATAAATTTTTAGGCATCGAAGCGCAAACAGGATCATGATGATTTCCGAAAGATATTTACATCGGTTGAGGTTTCACTCAGAACAAATAAAATAGAATGGGTTCTCAGTTTTTTAGAGAATCAAGGTTTGGAAGCAATTGTGGTATTCATGGGCGAGTCTTTGAAATATCTCTCCCGGTAGGATCTCTTTATTTTAATTTATTTAATGGACTTCAGAACGGATACCTTCCGTAGTACACAGATACCCTCAAGCACTACTCGCCGAAAGGGTTCTGTCCCCACAAGTGAGGAGTTTGGAGCTACATCACTAGCTCGTCGAGAGCCTACTAGTCCAGCTAAATTAAAAGGCACTCGAGGACCTAACGATAGACCTCCGCCAACTCCTAATTTCTCCCTTAGTCGAAATAAATCCGCATCGCCCACCCTCAAAAGTCAGAATATTCCACTTTCTACGTCCCTCACATTAGAAACTCTTAAAGACTGTATTCATTTGTGCTTGAAGTGTTTTAAAACTCTTCTTAATAATCAAGACGGATGTGCAAAAGCATTTGAAAATCCTGAAGTTATTGAGATTATTACGTTTTGCATCCTTCATCCAAATTTTGCGTAAGTTATCCTTTAATCTTTTTCCCTTCATGACTTATCTAGAAGAGGGTAGTTATTTGATGTTTTTTTAGGACTAAAGCGCTAGCTCTGGATCTGCTTTCAGCAATATGTCTTATTGGTGGTGGTCATCCGAGAGTTTTGAAGGCTTTCGATTATTTCCGACGAACGATCGGTGAAAATGCCTGCTTTGAAACTATTATAAATGATTTCAGAATTCATGATGAACTCCCGTTAGAGCAATATAATCTGGAATATTCTGTAAGTTACTGATTTTCTTTTTCCTGTCTAACATGATTTTTTTTTGTTTTCTCATCCCGTTCTGGCTATTTTAGGTTGCTTGCATTCAATTCATCAATATTGTTGTTCATTCACCGGAAAATATCAATCTTCGTGTATATCTGCAATACACGTTCACTCTTTTGGGATTGGATGATTTTTTAAGAGTAAGTTTATTTAAGTTGTATTTGTTACGTGCTTAATTAACCAAAATTTTCCAGGTTCTTTCTAGCATCCTGGTTCAATACTTTTCTGTTTGTTTCTATGCTTATTTATTGGAAAAGTGTTATTTTGAATGGAGTACTTTGTGAATGTTGTCTTTGAACCGTTAAATTTGTGGACGTTACTACAGTTAGCCTGTGTGGAACCTGAACCTACTTTGAATATATTGCTATGTTAACTCAGCGGTTGAAGTTAATATTTTATTAATGTTAATTTTCTTTTCTTATTTCAGAATCTTGTCATTATTGTTGTTTAATCTTTTTTTGACCATTTGGTTGGGCTAACTATTTAAATAAACAACTTTGGAATTTCTTAGTTTTCGTTAAAGCATTTACTCAATTTCATTGTTGATAAGTATCTTTTTACAGTGTCTTAATTGTACAGTTATCTTTCTTTACTTTTCTAATCCCTGTGTAAGAATGGGTAAATCGAATCGATCATGCAATTCTTTTGCACGAATTAACAGTGCAAATTTTCCCACTTTAAGCGTCTTACAAAATGTTTGACTTTTTGCCATTAGTAGAGCTCATTTTTGTTGTTTCGTGTTGAAATAGAGTTTCTTCCTCCAGAGCATTAGCTGCTTGTGCAGTCGTGGTTGCCCTTCCAGGTTAATTTGGTTAACTTAACAAAATTTCCAACAAATCCATTTTTATAAATTCAAAATCAAAGCAAATGTTATTCTTAGCAATTGATAGGTTTGTAATTATCTCCGGATATCAGGAGTTAATATCAATTGCAAATTTTTGACTTCACTACAAGAATGTCCTATTTTCAAGATGGAATTCACAAAAATCCTATGGTTTTGAATCATTATCGTCTACTTATAATCTGTTATGTTGCAAATATCACCAAATCGGTTGCAAATTACTGAATACATAAAGCCGAAAAATTCTAACCCGGTAAAAGTTTTTTGATAGTTGAATTTTTAGAGGGGGAGTGGGAGGGAGAGGCAGATGTTGAATGGAAAAGATATCGATGGTTGCACGTGGGGCACATGAAGAGCAGCACAGATGTGCAAATTGATGTAATTACTTCACGATCTAATATTATCGCGTTGTCTTAAAACTGCCAATTTTAAGTGCAATTCTTCTTACTGTCACATGTATGCCCTTTTACAATTTAGGTTCTGCAATCTCGGCCAGGAGACAAGTTGAATCGACACGTGGAGGCCTATGTGAACAACATGGTCAACTGCTCTCTTTTGTTGGATGATGCCGAGGCCAAAGAAGCGGCGGTCGAGGAGATTGCTCGTCTTAAGGCTGCTCTCGAGGCGTCAGATAGCACGGCTAAGCAGCAGGCCGCTTCCTTTAAAGTGAGCATGCCTCATTAATTTTTACATTCTTCCCTGATCTTTTCAATGTTCCTAGCTATTCTGGTTTCTGAATGCTTCATTTAATTTCTACCTCCTGTTTTGTGTTGCTTGTACTCTTGAATATTGGGTTTAGCGCGCTTTCATTGATGATTCGTGTTTTCCAAACTTACTTGTGTTATTAGAACTATGGACTGTAAGGCTTGGCTATTTTGTTAATGATTATGGATAAGAGGACAGCAAGGACATAATTCTGGAGAGGAATCGTGTGTGTGTGTTATATCGGTATTGGTTCCAATTTTTTTGTTATTCGGCTTACATTTCTGTTTTTTTTGTTTGCTTACTGATTCTAGTCCTTGCTTGGGCTTGGACGTATACTGTTGCTGCTTGTGTTCATAAATACGTTTCGAATGGTTTATTATGGTTTTGGGCCTTCGCAAAGAACGTCGTAATGCGGTTTTAGCTTTTTTGCCATGTTTTTATTAACGTTCTGCCTACGTTGGTACTTTAATAAAAGTGTGGTGCGTTTTTATGATTATTTTGTCATTCCTGTGGACGGAAGGACGAGTTTATTATTTAAATTTGGTCTAAAATTCTCCCCTTAAAGAGGAGCTTCTGATCTTATCAATTGGATTGTTCAAATTAATTGCTGTAGATATTTAATATGCGATTTTTTTCACAAAAATTTCCTTTCCAATGATCTTTTATCCCAATCCTAGTTAGCAACACAATCCTCTTTATTTCTCTAACTAGATTGCCTAAAAGGTAGTATATAGTGATTGGAAAATTGATTTTAAAAAACAGGAAAGAGTTTTGACAACTTCATCGGGCCTAGTTATTTCTCACTGCTTATAATCTTACCATCTGGAACCTCAGTAATGCATTACATTTAAACGACCATTAGATTAAACACTGTTTTAAAATGTATTTTTACTCCAACATTTATTCATGCTCATGTTGTGGGCCATGCGGTAATAATTGAAATATTGACGATTTTTGGTTGCTAAGTTAACTCATTTTACTGATTGGCAAGAAGACTTAGCAGTTTTCTGTCTGCAGTCGTTTTGGCATCCAGTTGTAATGTGGATTGGATGGAAAATTTAGTTGTAAAATTCTTATACTTGCAAATATTGACTTCCCAGGGAAGTCGCGACTTCCGCTTTTCTCGTTGTTCTCTTCTCCTATTTGCTCCCCCCCTCCCCCCCCCCCCCCCCCTACTGCAAGTGAACACTTGCAATCGTGACTGGTAAACAGCGAATAGGGATTTGCCGCTGTGGTAGGAGCAAATTTAATCAAATTGATTGGCATTTTTACACACACAGTGTCCTCACTCCTTTCTGGAGTATGGCAGAGTATTCCTAAATATAAAATTTTTGGATTATATGTATTTGAGTTTGGGTTTTAAGTCCTCTCTTTTTTTAACTACATGAGAGTTTGCATTTCTGCCTGAGAGTAGTTGATGAATCACAAAACTCTTATTATGCTTAAAAGTGACCATTTACAGTCATCTTCTTGGAGGAGCTCATTTTTTGCTCTCAACTTCTCCCATTCCATATTTCCTACTTCGTGAATTAAAATGTGCTCCTTTCGTGGCATGAATTTAATCTATCTGCCTACTTTTCTTTTGACATACTTTGCGTCGTTGTCAAATTAGAACTTCTCTTCCCTCATTTACTTCCAGAGCAGCGTCCATTATACAAGATTATGCTTGAACCGCACTGTTTCTATGTTACCATTTGTATAAATTTGTATTATTAAGTTTAAATCCTATCGCTTCTTTTACAACTGAAAGAAACTATTTCCTCCCTTTCTGTTTGCCTACTTTTCCTGTTTTTTTGAGAGCTCATTTTTGGGTTTTAAAATGCTACTACACGAATATCTTAAGGCAATAACACCCTTACTTATTTCTCCGTTATTCAAATTAGAATTCATTGTCTGTTCGTCTTGGGCTGGAATATTCTCACGTAGAGTAAAGTGCCGTTGTTCTCTTCACTATTTTAGAAAAATTTCTGCAACATTTTTTATTTTCAGTCGCCCGAAAATACTGCTCAACTTGCGGAGTTACAATTTTTTACTAAAATTTTAGTTATGGTGGTAGTTTTTTGTTGAAAATTGCTTTTTTTCCATACGTGGCCAATGGATTGCATATTTTCATGATTTTACATTTCGATGGCCTATCGGAGTTCGTTTAGAATGGGCATTTCATTGGGCATTTTCCCAGCCTTCAAATTCCACTTTTACTTCTATTCATTCGTTTGACGTCCTGTGCTAGGAGCATTGAAGTTTACTTTTGCTAGCTCCTTGTTCTCTACAATTTGCTAAGACTGTTTGACGGTTTTCGCTAAATTTTCAGTGTTTTATACTGCATGAATGAAGTATTTTATTCTATGTTCTATCTCAATGCAATCAAGGCATTAGCAATTTCACCTACCTACGGTATATACCAATTTGGGACAAACTTGGGTCGATATTGCGCACCTTCCTGTCTAAAAGTGGCAGTTTTGCTACGGATTGATAATCGCATACATTAGATTTCTATTCGACTCAAAACTATCCATTAATTAATAATTATTTATTATACTATTCTAGAATATATTACTTTGTATAGAGAGTAGCTTGTTCTTGCTATGCACTTTTTTCGCGTTGTAGCCGACAGTTCAGATGGTTCTATTATTTCTTATTGCTATAAAATTTAGGTACTATCATGAGTAATTAAATTTTGGTGCCGGGAAAATTCGAATCATTTAAAACCCATTTATATCCAGAGGTTACAATTTTTGTTAGTTTCGAGGCCATAAATTATTATTGCCTATGGGGAAGCGAAATGCGTGGGAAAGCATATGATTATGCAGACTAGCAAACAAATCCAGTGAGGTATGAACGAAGGGGGGGGGGGTGGAGGTGGAGGCCGTAAATGAGCCGATGATGAATTCTGAGCACCAAGCGTTCTATTTTATCTATATTCCATGGCAATCATCTCGTAATTTCAATTTTCATAACTTAGCTCCCATATTCGTGTGAGATTATGTTCACTAGCTTTATAGCCTTTTTAATCGGTCGTTTATGCAAATAAAATTTATTTTTATCCTTTTTTACAGCTAGTGACAGATAGACTTAACTGTCATCGGTAACTTTATTATGTCATAAAGTAATAGACATTAAACTCAAACTTACTTTGTGCCTTATCTTTAGCAAAGAGATCTTGCCTTGTCTGAACTTGTTGAGTCCCTAAGAGGCAAAATTCGTGACATCAATGTAGCAGCAGGTCAGCAAGAGGCCGCGACAAAGCGTATAGCAGAACTCGAACAATCTCTTGCAGCCGCTCACAGACAAATCCAGCGCTTACAGGAGGCTGCTGCTGCCACCAGTACGGAGATAGAGACTAATAGTTTAGGTCAGCTCCGGCCCGCTCCAAATCCCCGTCAAAAGAAATCTCCAGGTCAGTGCAATATGACCACTTCAACCACCCTCCCTATGGGCTTTGAGTTCACCGAGCAGAGTACGGCAATTGGTAAACTTAATACGCCAGTTGTCGATCATGAAAGATCTTCGGCATCTCCTATGGCAGATCCAAGGAGAAAATCAATGTCTCTTGAGCTACTATCGACAACTAATCGATCGGTGACGAGAAGTGATACTCCTCTCTCGTCTACTTCACCGCTCTCTACGGCTTCAAGGCCTTCTTCTGGCTCGGAAGTGAACTATGATACATTCTCTAGGAAGTCGGGATCTATTGCTGAGAAATCCCATAGAGGAATTATCTCGTGTACTCTTATCTCGAAAGGTTAGTTTGATCATTTCTTTTTTGCGTCTTTTACTAAATGCCACACCTGTCATGCGCCGCTAGTCTATATATTTTGCTTATGTTCTGAATGTGGTAGTGTTTTTATGATTGTGGAACTGTGGTCATCAATAATGCCAATAATGTAAGCATGTGATTATTCGCTTTGAAATCAAACCTTCAAGTGGCTTAACAAGTGCCCAAGCTGTTTAATACTGATATGTAAGTAAGTGGCTAAAATAAGCATTTGGCAGACATTGGTTTAGGTATTTCATCATAGCTTTACAGTGATGTTACCATTGATATAATTGAATGCCTCATTTAATTGGGTTTTCTTTTCTTTAGACCGTTAGTCAAAAGTTGACTTTGTCTACTAAAGCTGTGAGGGCTTATTACGTTTCATTAAGTCCAATTTCTTGCATGATAGTGCATACCCTTGATTATGTATTTAATGTATTTGTTTTGTGGACAATTTTGTTTTGTTTCGTCAAATTGGTCTAAAGAAAAGTGTCTTTTGATGGCTCTCTCAAACAACAAGCCTACTAGGAAGGTAAATTCTTTCACATGCAACGTTATTTGATGCGAACGGAAATTGGACCATGGAGAAATTTCATTGTTTTAGTAGCTCTGTAATGGAATCTTCCCTGTTTGTGTAATATATGAACGTTCAGATCGCTTGAAGCCTAGATTTGTGGAATGAACTTCACCTTTCAGTAACTAAATTCTTTACTGTTAGATAGTCGTTTCGGATTGATAGTTTTCACGGATCAATTTGCATAGGAGAAGTATATGCGTGCTTCTCTTAAATTGAGGGACCTCCTTATGAGCTTTTTAAATCTAATTCGTGTGTGAATAATGCAGCGCTTTATGACTTTTATTGCCTAGATGAATGGGCGAATCTACCACCTAAAATCAACTCACCCGGTTTTGGCTTATCAATCTGTACTAGAATATCAAGTGCTAAAGACCTTAAATTCTCCCTCTTCATTAATCAGAAATGCGTCCGCATCTAAATTAGACATTTCGTCACATATCATTATAGCTCTAACTTTCAATATTCGTAATGTGTAGAATCGTTAACTAAATTGTATCTATGTTTGCTAATTCGAATACCATTAGTTGGGGATTCATCAATATGTGTTTTTGCTGTAATGCCGTCAACATTTGCCAATAGATGATTAATAGGTACATATTTATGTAGCGGAAAGGTTAAGAATGCCTAATAAACATGGAAAACATTGCTTCAATGCATTTGGTTTCTTTGTTCTAAATTTCTTTTGGGCTCTCTCTTGCCTGTTTAATTCTGTATGCTGTTGCCACTAATACATTACGACTTCATGCTGTCATGCTCTTATAAACATTGTCCTACTAGGAATAAGTGAGCTAGGAAGTCAATTATTTTTTTCGCTGACTTTTGTCCCATATCTACTACCCGTTTATTTTTGCTTACATAGTCTCGGATATGGCTCTGGCTCGTCACACCTTTGCCAACATAACCACTACTCTTAACATCCTTGTCTCCCGTCTGGCTGCTGCATCCTGTCCTACATCACCTTATTCCACTCCCGCAGTACCCCTTCCTCATTGGCACTCCACATCAGCAACCTCGCACGAACAACATCGAAATGATCTCGGCTGTGGTAGTCTTCTTGGCTCAGCTCGACGTTGTCATCAACTTGCTTCTGTTCTGCCTGACCCCTGGGCCTCGTGCTTTGTCTCTGCACATCGTGCCTTTAGACTCTGTTCTTCTGGTACTGAAGAAGAGAATGAGGAGGCTACAATGGAAAATGGTACTGTTAGTGTGGTTGGCGAGCAAGCTGGGGAGAATGGAGGCAATGGTACCTCTAGGTAAGATAGCTATCTTTTTTCCGCTCTGATGTTAAATCGTGACTTAGTAGGTTTATTCCTTTGTTCCTCCTCCCCCCCCCCTGGGAATATTTTACTACATTGTACTGTTCTATGGTTTTTTCAATGTGCCACTCATAAAACCCATTTAGCAATGTCTTTTCTAACACTTATTTGGGGAAATAGATGGAATCATGGTGCCTTCTCGGTGTGAAAATCGAAATCTGTCACTCCTTTTATTGTCCAGATTTAACCAGTGAGCCTGGCCATTTTCTGCACTGGGTGTTCACTGAACTCGTGATTTTTGACATCGTGGAGGATCGCTTCAACCAGTGCAATGGCTTTTATGAGGCATTTGAATGCCTGGAGTCAAAATTTCGGTGGAGAGAAAGAGACAGAACTTTTGGGCCCTAATGCGGTTATTTAAATAACTCAACAAATTGAACGTACTTTACCTTTGACGAGCATATTTGAAGACCAAATATTACTTCAAAGAAGAAAAGGTTTATTGCAATAGAGTGTCATATCTGCAAAGCAATGGTGTATACCAATGTTAAAACTATATTTTCACCATGACACGGATTCCGAAATTGTTCGTTTTACAGTTTCGTTCCCATTTATTTTCCCTCGTAATCTTGCACGCTAGGGCCCCAGGTTCGGCATTCAGTGTTCTTCGATGTCTCTACATATGCCGTTTTGTGCTTATTTTTGTGTCTAAGTGTTTTCAAATTCGTGGTTCTAATTCATGCATTCACTATTTATGCTCCATTGACCATCTGTCCCATCATAAATCACTCCTATTAGTAGTTCCCTTGGTGAATGTTGAATATTTTATTCACAAATCAGTAAAATCGCAAGTCAACTGACTGAGAGAAACGCTGGCTTACTGCCAGTAAATGAGAGAGCGAGATAGAAAAGTTGACTCATTTCGGCGTGGAACGGAGAGGACAAAAACAGGTGTTGCGTTCACAGTAGCCTGTGAAGGCATCGAATTGCTGCGTGAGAAATTCCAATAATCCGATTATTGGACGTCTATGTCAAAGATCAGCATTTTCAAATTTTATTGTTTCGGTGATGGGTACCTTATCTTTATAGTTAAGAAGTTTTCGTTTATTTTTAACCAAAATTCTTTGTGGAGCATTGATCTCTGTTTTATTTTCTTAAGCCCTTTTTACTTTTGGTTCCTCTTGCATTTTAATTTCAGTTTAAATATGTGCATTTGCTTGTCGGAGCCCTATCTTTTTTACGACCTTTTCCTCAAAGAGACTGGACAATATCCGGAAGTGAATCCAACTGTCAATGCACTCTTTATTCAGAAGATTGCTTGTTTAGGTTTGTGCTTAATTGTGGGCAGCGCGTTTCCATATGGAATAAATAATGTGCTGACAATTATTTTAACTATAGCCAGGCCCTTAACCATTAAGGCACAACAATTTGGAATTTCTTATCCACCATTGGAATAACTTGTCTATTTCTTGAAGTTTTACCGTGGGATTTCAATCGGTGTGAAATGACATGTTTGATTTCGGACAGACAAACCCTTCTTTGCCTTTGGCAAAATGGCAGGTAAACGGGGTTTTTGTAGCGTGCCGCACGCCTCTGTCTACTCTGATTAACGACTTTGAGAGTGGGGTTCAAGGCGTGAAAAGGGGGAGTGGGGGGGGGGGGAGGGGAGAATTAATGGTTTGCCACATGCATGTGTGGCTTGTTCCGTGCCATATTATTGGTCGGTTAAGCGCTGTTATTAGTCATTTGCCTCTTTGGGTTAACTAATCCCATAAACGTCCTTCTCAATAGCCGCAGATTAGTTGCACGTCTTAGTTTTAGCCTAAAATTAGTAAAATGACAGTTTGGGGCAGTTACCAGACTCTATTCCTTCAGGGGGAGGGGCGGCAGATGTTGAATTTAAAGCAAATCTTATGCATCTGGAACTGAGATTGTACAGGTTGTCACTAATATTGACAATTGTCTGACTATGATTTTTTGTCCACTTTTACATACATTAGATATAAATCACAAATAATTCTCTGAAGTAAAATGACTATTATGAATCCCTCCTGATAGCTTTATAATTACCGCAAAATTCGATAATAGTATAAAGCAGACTCCAGGGTGAATGACTATGAATTTAAAATAATTGAAATTTGTTTTTTTGGTTTGGTTGAATCGGCTAATCAAAGATGTATTGATGCGACTAAAATGTACCCTATTGATCACTTCTGGAGATGTTGGTAGCGAACTGCACAGTTTTTTCCTGAGTATGATAGAATACAATGCTAATATATAATAATATGGTTATAATATGCTCCTGTGGGTACGCGCCTTACTGGATCTGGAAATTTCTGCAAAATGTCTTTTTTCAATTTTTAAAATAAGTTTGTGTTTATTAGTGCCTAAAAGGGCCAGTATGTTAAATGCTGAAAATGGGCGTTACGCGTGCAAAGTCAGGGGTCATCGCGGTTTATTCCTGCAAGGTTTTGGTCTAAATCTGAATCATTGCGTTTGAGGTCAGAAGCTACTGTTCCATGAAAATCAGAGCGTTGTACTTTCACCCTATTATATATATATAAATTTGGATTGTGTGATCTGTTGGGTGAATAATGAATCCCCCCTCCTTTTTACATGGGAAAGGAGTATCAGTTATAATTAAGCCGGACAATCCTTCCAAATAGTATGCAGCGTTTCTGTGTTAATTTGACGTGAACCGATGCCCAACAACTTTTCCACTTATAATAAGGAACCTGGATTAGTTTGAATTGATTGATTTCATGAATTATGAGTTTGCTTCTGTTGAATTCTGAGAGATCGAGTGGTTCTGCAAATTTCTGAGTAGATTTATCATTTTTATCCCCTGTTCCTATCTGAATCTATTTCTAATGTGCCAATTGGCAAGATATAAAGTGTGCAAACTTCAGGTTACAGTCGCCGTTATTTTTTGATTGGAAATGCTTTCAAGTGAGGAATGTGTTGTTGAAAACGTAAATACCATAACGTACGGTTATAGGTACAACTGCTCAAATTCCAGAAATACGATACCAACATACAATAAGTGCAAATGGCATTTTTTTGTTATTAAGGCAATTAATTTACTCACGAAAATTGGATGCGGTAATTAAGTGTCTACCTTGTTTGGCAGTAGTTGCCGCGATCCCCTCTTCATTGGTGGTCATATATATCTCTGTCTTAGCTTATATTTAAGTAATCGATAATCCAGTACACTAGAGACTAAGTTTGTACTTCGCTTGAGTGTGGTGATAATATTCTATTCGCCTTCCTAACCGTTCGTTCAGCCTTCATTTACTAGCAGCTTAGCTTCTTAATGTGCTTATCACAATTGGTAGAGGATTTATTCGTATCAATTTTTTGCTTTCTACTTTAAGACTCCTCAAGTGGTTGGTGAACTCTCGTCTTGTGACAGATGACGCTCTATCATTGGAACCCCCTGCCCAAACCTCCTCTAAAATGGAAACCGAAGCAGAGGAAGAACGTGAAGCTGCTGCGGTTCTCCCCTTGGTCACTGCTCTTCTCTCTGTCAGTCTGAATCCTTTCACGGCTTCTCGAATTCTCTCCCTCCTTGAGGTTGCTGGCAGCTTTGCTGCCGGTAATGCTGTAAATAATGATAGGTACGAACACCATTAGCATTTGTTATTCTTGTTTCCATTAGCTGATGTTTATTTGCAGCCTCACTCGTTATATTTGCTTCGATTTCCGTACCAAATAATAAATTCCTCTTTCGCTTTGTTCATGAACTATCGGTTAAATAAGTGGAAACAGAACCTTCAAGTACAGTTCCTTTCTATACTACTTGAGGTGTATTCAGTTATTCTCCCGTCTTCTAAGAATGTGTGGATCGTGATTGGCAATTTAACACTATGGGATAGTTGGGGGTTTACGATTTCATACTCAACGATCAAAAAAATAATTTGCAAATAACCCAGTAAGCAGTTAATCGTGTCCTGCTATGCATGTGAAACAAATGTGTTATGCTGTAGGTGTGTGATATTAGTATTAAGGGTCTAACTTCCTGCTTCATTTCTTTTCTATAGCGAAAACAGCGAATGGAGCGAACTTCCACGTTTGTTTGATGCTGTTGAGGCTCATTTACGAGTTCGCTTAGCAGAAAGGGATCTAAAAAATAGCCCCGTTTATCAAGTAAACGAATATTCGTCTCCCGACTGGCCTTTGATGCAAGCTCTTCTGCAGATCAATCTTCTGCCATTTGCTCTTATGGCTAATCTGCAGCTTATTATCGAGGTATGTGTTCTATAGCAATTCGAAGATTTTCAGTAGTTGAATTATCTTAGTCGTTAATGCAGTCCACTTTCTGACGCGCTCCACTCTGGTTCTGTTTAAATTTTCCTGTTTAGTCTTAACCTCGAAATCAAAATTAACTAGGCGTTACTTAGTTGTTTGGCTTCTGGGTGACTGGTGAGTTTGTTATCCTTATGACTGATTAAGTATGTGTCAGAGAGAGGGTGTAAGTATTGCTGACTCGTCTATTGGCCATTATTGAATTGTAATAATTTCCTAAATATGCACAAAGCTACTAGGCAGGCACTACCGTAATTCATCCAAAGATTCGAAAGGAATTCGTTCCGTACTCGCTCAAATACTGGAGAGAATATATGTTTGTATTTCTTTGCTATCGGAGTTATTTGCATGAGCTTTCCCGCAGTTTTTCTTAAAAAATCGATACTCTTTCCTTTGAAAAGGTCCGAAAGTGGATGGGAGTCAAAAGTAGGCTCTTGCTAGATGTGTGATGGCTTTTAGATTCCTTAAAGAGGATGGTCCTATTTTTATCACAGATATTTAAACCTTAGTCTAATGGAGTTGCTTTCTTTTCGGGGTTATCGTCTTTCACTGTTCTATCGTGAGTAATCCATGAGTGAATTTGACAGTTGATTTCATCATTGACATCCTTTTGTACTTGCGTAATATTTTTTGACATCCATTTTTATTGACCTTCCTTCCAGTTGCTTTTGGCAACCAGGACTCGAAGTAGGACTGTAGGTGTTTCATCACCGTCCAATGCCCAGATGCCATTGAATAATATCTTTCTATGAGAGCGTAGTCTCCTTAGACTAGTTCTCTCGCAATTTATGAGAAGAAATTCGTTTAACGCCCTTTTTAAGCTAATCTTTTTAGTGTGAGTTATTATTCTTCATTCGCACTTGTTATATGCAAACCAATTTTGCAATTATTGGCAAATGGGTGATCAGTGAGTTAAAAAGCCATTTGGATATAGGGGGCTTAGTGGAGTTGAATTTACGTCTCGTATTACACGCGTTTAGTATGAATTCAATCAAGTATTACGTGAAGAATAGAATATAGCACTTGTGCTGCAGAATTTCGGTTGCATTGTACATATTGATTTTTACTTGGCATATGTGGCAGTACGAAATCCGATTTTGGACTTTTCTTTTGTTCTTTTAGCGGAAAAGATTATTCATTGTGCTCTAGCCCAACTTCTTTTTGTACTGCAACTAGGCGGACAGTTTTCATTTATTTTCTATATGTTATTTACGCCACCTCGGGGG